ACACCTGAATGAAAGAATTTTATTAAGCATTTGACGGATGATAATATTTAAGAGAGTAAAATGATTTTTATCCTATAAAAATTAATGTTTAAGAGAGTAAAATGTTTTTTACCCTCTAATAATTAAGCATTTGCTTCTTCTGTTATCTGTGAAATGTTTAGTAAAATTAATGGGATAAAAGCACAAAACTCCCGTGTGCTTTTTTAAAGTTGCATAAAACTCCCTTATGTTTTAAAAATTGAACAAAACTTCTTTGTATTTTAAGATTCTCTGCACAAAATCCCCTGTATTTTCTTAAAGTTGCACAAAACTTTCGTGTGTTTAAAAATTGCACAAAATTTACTTGTGTTTCAAGATTCTCTGCACAAAACTCTCCAAGTTAGCAATTTGTGCTTTTTTATTTTTTTAATAAACAATTTAAAATATTTTTACTAAAACATCAAATTTTGAATTTATTATTTTGAAAAAGGGCCATATATATAAAAATAAAAATGATGAAAAAACTGTTCATTTATCCAAGTAGTAATTGAGGGTATTCAGTAATTGAATTAATGTTACGCCCCAACCCGGGAGCATGACCGGCACCAAGATTGGGTTACAATCCTGGTAAGCCTCGAAACAAAACAGAAAGGACAGGCAAGTTCATACATAACTGGAACAAAATCAAATATCATAACAAGATGTTATCCATACAGAAAGGTGTCTACTGTCACTGAGAGATATATGAAGCTGCTAAAATACAACAGCAAAATAAAATATACAAATGTGCTCGTACATCGACAAAAGTAGTGGTGGACAAACACGGTCCAAAAGCAACTGCGGCCAAACAGAACAGAAATTTGGAAAAAAAATGGGAAAAACGGGATGAGTATAAATTTAGTAAATACTAGCACTGTCCTAATCATGCGGTAACATGCATCACACATCTGAAATAAGTATCAGCAGAAAAATATGTACATATAATCGTCTCATCTGTCAAAACGCAATAGCCTCTGATAACATAGTTAGAAAACACCATGAACAACTGTCGAAGTATCAGAACAGATCGCGAAGCATATAATGTATTGAGATCCCGTACTGAAATCAGAAGCACATATCTCAAATCATCGAACCCAGGGCGCTCCCCACATGCTATAACAGCACGTCGTCCGTCGGCTGAGCCTCTGGCGTCCCATATCGGAAACACAGAAAACTCACGACAGTGTAGTTGTCAAAACACACCTATATATATCATACAGAAGCAGAGTCTGATTTAAATTCAACAAATAATTAAAATTTCTCGTACCAGAAAAGTAGAGGATGCATGCCTCACATTTCATATTATAATACCAAAATAATGTAACGAATATAATAGAAATCAAAATATAGTCACATGCTTAAGAAAGTGCTGGCACTCATCGGGCGCGTCAAAAATGAAAGTCGAACCCAGTCAGACGGCTCACTGATTGGTGTGAGTCTCCTCCGAGTATCTACAATAAGCGGCATGTACATCAGTAATGAAATCAAAATTTATTTCTAAAAGCAAAAACTAATTTATCAAAAATGGCCCAAGGCTTAACCCCTCGCCTGGGCCCCTCGGCACGCAACCCAAGACCCTACTTGGAACGCCACTACTTTACTCAATTTATATCTAAACCAATAATACATCTCATTATTAACAAGCCTCGTAAATTAACTAAATCGGATTCCCAAAAAAAAAAAAAAAATGTGAACCGAGCTTGAACTAGATTCCCGAACCTCATAAACAAACCAAACCAAACTAACCTTAATTTATCAAAACCCAGACTAAAATCGATCAAAACCCCATTGAACCGGACTGAACCGGACTCATTTTTCATAAACCGAACCAAACTGAGTCAAACTGGGCTCAAATCCACCTAAACCGGGGTGAACCAGGTTTCACCTTTTTTAACCTATGAAGAACCGGCCTTTAACTACCAAGACCCTGACTGAACTGGCCCAAAACAATAAAAACTGGCCGGTTTAATACTTTCTTCCCTTAAAACTAGATGAATCGAGCCAGTTTTCCACCTAAAACCGGCCCAGGCACACTCCCCAAGGTTCCCTAGGCTGGGAACCGGCCTTTACTCCTTGGTCCAGGCCGGTCTGAGGGCTAAACCGGCCTGGTCAAAGCAGACTGGGCCGAACCGGCCCAGTCAATGTTGGACAGACCTGGGAAGTTCCTGGGTCTGTCTTCTTCGCCCGGAACCCGGGTCACAGACCCGGGTGTCTGCATCGATTTCCAGCCCCCTGAATCCTCCTAAAACTCCAGCAAAAATACTTACCCACTGAATTGAAGCCTCCCAGCTTGATTTTCGAAGCCCGTAAGCCACCAAAATGTAGTTAATCGAAGCAGAAATCAACCCCGAACAAGAATTTTCTTGTTGAAACTCTGACGGAAGCCGCGACCCTTCCAACTCAATTTTCTCTTTTCTGTTCTCACCAATTCACTCATTTTCAACTTTATCAAATTCGTTTTGTCCCTATATACCAGCTTTCAAAAGCTAATTGGAGTTGTTTAATTCTGATTGGAGCAAACGGGTTTCTGGGTTGTTCGGCCGACTTCAGCCTAATTTTTTTTTTAATATACAGATATTACAATTAAATCGCTAAAGATTGATTAAATTATAATTCATTTTAGTTTTTGTAACAGAATTTTTTATATAATTTAATTACATATTTAATGTCTAAAAGAATTGTATAAATTAATCTAAATAGTATAATTTATGCATATACAAATTAAAAATTTTATCTTTTTATATATAATTTATATTTACTATTTGAACAAAAAAAATAAAAAGCACAAATTGCTTACTTGGGCAACGAACGCCCAACTTCGCCACGAGGTAAATAAATTTTTTTTTTATATATTACACGTGTTTTAAAATAGTACAAAAGAACCATTCGCCTCCCAAGTTAGCAATTTGTACTTTTTAATTTTTTTATTCAAATAATAAATATAAATTATACATTTGAAGATAAAATTTTTAATTGTGTATTCATAAATTATACTATTTAGATTAATTTATACAATTTTTTAGACATTAAATATGTAATTAAATTATATAAAAAAATTCTTTACAAATTAAATCAAACCAAAATGAATTATGATTTAATCAATATTTAGCGATTTAGTTCAATTACTGAATACTCTCAGTTACTACTTGGATAGCCTAAAATGAATAGTATTTTCATCAATTTTATTTTCATATAGATGGCCCTTTTTTAAAATAATAAATTCAAAATTTGATGTTTTAGTAAAAATATTTTAAATTGTTTATTAAAAAAATTAAAAAATTCAAATTGCTAACTTTGAGATTTTTGTGCAGAGAATCTTAAAACATAAGGAAATTTTATACAAATTTTAATACACGGGAGTTTTGTGCAATTTTAAGAAAATACAAGAGATTTTATGTAGAGAATCTTAAAACATAATGAAATTTTGTTCAATTTTTAAAATATATGGGAGTTTTGTGCAACTTTAAAAAAACACATGCAAATTTTGTGTTTTTATCCCAAAATTCTTCTATTCAACTTTATTGAATTCTTGTTAATGCTTAGTAAAATACGCGGACGACATTAAAAGAAGATGGCAGCAGAATTTGGCTGCTGCCAATTGTTTCCTTGTGGATCAATAGTTCTTCTTTTTCTCCCTCTTTCTCCCTTAAACTATTCTTCTTATTATTTTATATGTTTCTATGGGCGAGCAACCTAAAAGACACACAACAGATGAGTTCTCCTGAACATCTTCCTTGGCTTAGCATTGCAACTTCCAAGCAATGTCTCATATATTGACGTTGATTTTTATCCCTCGTGAAACACAACTTTAGGAGGTCAATTTTCATTTTATTTCTTCTAGTAACATCGATCTATTGGGTTGACTTTCTTTTCCGGTCTAATTTTCCTTTTGTTTCTCGGGAAACAAGCAAAGCCCACAACGACCTTGTTTTAACTTTTCTCTTCGCAAAAAGTAGTGATAAGACAAAGCACGGAAAGCCCCACGATTGGCAACTACGCCGAAAGGCAATAACCCGTAAAAGAAGGCAGGGCCGGCTTCCATACAGCCTTCCTTTTCATACCTAACTAAAAATGCCCAACCCCCTGCTCACCCGTAAACAAACAAACCCATCAGTTTTGTTGGATGTTCTTTTCTTTTTTTATTTTAAAAATTATAAAATTTTTAGTTAAACAAACCCATCAGTTTTTGTTCAATTTTTTATTTCTTTTATTTTAAAAATTATAAAATTCTTTAGTTTTATTTTGATTATTTTAATAAAATAAACAATTACTATAAAAATTATTTAAACATTTTTAAATACGCTTAACAAAAAGAAAGAAATAAGAAAAGATAAAAATAATAATTAGAAATGTTTATTTTGAGATATTAAGAATTGAGTTTATTGTAAAAGTAATGAAATATATAATGAAAGATAATATTTTTAGTCTAATAAGTCTTTTTGACTTTTAATTAAATCTTGAAAATTCAAAATTTACAATTTTTTTTTATCTAAAACAAGTAGAGTAATATTGAAACACAGAAGGATATTTTAAACTCATGTGAGAATATTTTAATAAATTTTTAAAGGACTCATGTTTGTATTTTTTATTTTTTATCAACAATTCAGATGTTTGTATTTTGTACTTTTTCTGTTCGAAAGGTGGAATTTTAGATTCTTTTAAAAAGATAACCAAAATACTTCTCATTTATCTTTAAATCCAAAAAAAAATTATAAAGCGAATTACGTAATAGAGTTAGATATTTTTAAAACATCACAAAAACATCTAAAATCTGAAAAAGGGTTCCAACCGAACACTGCTTGTCTCCACATTGGAGGCAACCTAGAACCTCAGTCTACGCGGTCAAGTGAACTCCGTTGATGCCTATAAAAAACCATTTTGTAAAATAATTAACCCATGTTTCAGCATCCAAGTTCTCTCAAATTTCGGAGCAATTTGACCATTTTTTTGCTGATCATATGAGAAGTTCTTATCACAAAGAAATGAAGGTCTGGAGTTCATAATAGTTCTACGCCTAAGTAGTTGTTTAAGTGGCTTATTTTTTGTGTTGGTGCTTGTGACTTAAATTAACGGGTGCTTATGGGTGCAGCAAAAGGTGGTGATCAGGCTCTCCAGCGGCGACAGCAAGAACAGGACCAAAGCCCTGAAGGTAGCCGTCGGCGCACCAGGTACATTTATTTGGATTTGTTTTCTGCTCTCTGTTTCCGTAGTCATAAAATGTTTTCTGAAAACAAATATCTGGACAACACTATCGTTTTCGTATAGTTCCCAACTTCTATGAATGGGAGCCCGTTTTCTGAAAATTCTTCGGCAAGAAGTTTTCAAGAACACCCTGTTTTTCTACTTCTTGTTGCCATAGCAAGTACCTAGGCCTATTTGGATTTGTTTTCTGCTTTCTGTTTTCTGTATTCATTCAACGTGTTCTGAAAACAGAGAACACAAAATAATCTGGACAACACCGTTCTGTCCATATAGTTTTTAACACTGGGCCAAAACAGGCTTTGTTAACGGGTCCTGTTTCCTGAAAATGCTTCTGAAAATCATTTTTGGAAGAAAACCTGCCAAAGGGGTATTTCATTTTTCAGAGGCAGAAAATAGTGAAGATCCAAAGCTCGAACACGATGAAGCTAAGGATGAACTTTCTCGGTCCTGCAGGTTTTGAATCAGTGGTTTTGGAAGGTGAAAGCAAGACCCAGATGGCAGTCACTGGAGGCGGCCTTGATCCAGTTAACTTGATGGTTCGTCTGAAGAAAAAGCTTGGGCTTGCCGAGCTGATTAGCGTCACCCCTATCAAAGCTGAGGAAGGGAATACAGAGGAAGGCATCACGATGCAGACAATGGTGTGGCAACCATATCACAGCGGGGTGCCACAGTACTATGTCTACTAGCCCAGTTAAGACATTTGCAGTGTACTGTTAGAGTAGCATTTAAAGTTTGGGATTCAAGTTGTTGCAGAACCAGCAAGAGAGAATATTGTGGAATACAATTTTCATAATTAATGTTTGATAAATAGTAGAAATGGGATTTGCAGGTGGGCGGATTTAAAAATATAGAAAGTCACATACTTCTCTTATATGTATTTATTTGCCAGAGTGAATCAATAAAAATGGGGTTTGAATCTGTTTTCTGTTCTCTCTCAGTTTTTGGTTTAGAGTTTTCCACAATGGAAAACCCGGTAATCCTAGAAAACTTTGTTGTATTGTTTACATTTTTAAATGAAAACAGCATCTGAGAATTTTGAAAATGAGTGAGCTTTCCAGAAACAATCTGTCAAACTGTTTTCTCTTTTCAGAAACAAAAATTAAAAAAATGTCACAGAACTTAAAACGTTCATGTATCTGAGCTAGTAGTTATTCATAGGGAAGAATAAACTAAAAGGGCAGAATTCAAATTGGCAATTTTTCTGAACAAAAGCACAAGCCAAAGTTAAATAAGTTATTTTGAAGGTATGACAAATGGGGGATGCTTGGCGGCTCATCTTTCCCCAGCATTTGAAGCAGAATCTCTCTTTTTTATGGGTAAGTTCTTAGGAGTAATGCCAGAAAACATTCAAAATATTTACTTGTTTTGGTAATGGGCCATTTTCTTTACCAAGTGCCCAATTCTATCAAACGAAGATGCTTGTTGATGCTGGTAAAACAGAACAAAACGAATTGACAAAAGCTTCTTTTGCAAATGAAAACATGTTCTCAATATGTTGTGATAAATGAAAGACTCTTAGCCAAACTTTGTGAAACCAAGTGTAATGTAGAGCAGACCTGTCTCACCACTTGCTCTCTCTGATTTGAATATCTCATAATCATTTCCTCCCTTCTCAAACAAACAAACAAGTTCAACAAAAGGGGATTTTTCATAATTCTAGATAAGATATTACCAGAAGAAAAATACTGAGCAAATACAAATTAGAAAGCATGGGAAAAGCATAACCTCTCTGCACATATAATATACACATATTAGCTTTATCAGTTTTTCTTTTTTTTTTTGACCAAAGAAGTGGGTTTCCTGAAAATGATCCGGGCATCTCAAGCAGTTAGTCATGTCCAACCTTAAAAATTGAGAAAACCTGTCATTCTAATGAAAAGCTGAGTGCAAATTGGATATTGGCAGAAGCAAGGGTACGCGCGAAGATTTACAGAAATCAGAGGGGCAGGATCATTCTTTCAACATCCACATGTCTCTGGATTTTTTTTTAAAAAATACACGTAATGATTGACGTCAAGCCTGTAGGTCCAGCCTCGTATGAAACCAAAGCAAAAAAGAAAAAATAAAGGGGATAGTTGCGGCTCCACTTCATTATTAACTAAACATCGAAAACAGCTAGTTGTAAAAATTTTTTTTAAAAAAGGTTGAAATGGAGAGGAGGTGTAAGGTTAATAAATAGACTTCACCTAATCACCCTCAAATTCGCCCAATCACCCTCAAAATTGTCTCCAGAGATTCATTCTTTTCTTTTGCAATAAGAATGAGATTTAGAGAGTTTTTATTTTTCTTCTATTTTCAGAAAGATAATCTTATTTATTTTTTTAAATAGAGAGACGTTATAACTCCTATTTTCTTAATAGTGAAATTATTTTATTATTGCTTGTGAATTTTATCATATATTTATTTAGGAGTTTTTTACGTAAATCCTTATATTCTTGTTTTGTTATTTCATCTTATTTTATTAGTTACGGTTTTACTTTATTCGCCCATCAATTTGCCAACAAAGCTTGGGATTGGCCAGCCTTGTCCCTAGGCCGAACTCCCACCGCCTTGTTGTTGCCGTTCGTCTTCTTCATCTTCGACGACCACGCGAAATCACTGAAGAACTGGCGGACAAAGGCCGCTACGTTACATTGTTGCTTGCTGTCGTCATCCCATCGCCACCCTTTGTAGTTTTGATATCGAGGTGACATGCCAAACGACGGTCTTTACCGGTTTGTTCAGTTATAAAATTGGCCGATTCGGCAAATCCAAGAGAGGCGAAGATAGATCTTCGTGTTGAGAGAGTTTGAACGGAGGGGAGAGAGAGTCGTCGTTGCCACCGCCGTAGTGGTAAAGTCACCTTCACCCTTTTTTCTTATTTGAAAGAGTTAGGGGAGGATGCCGGCTGACAAATCGCAAGAATAAAAAAGAAGAAAGAGCTAACCGGTCTCTGTTCACGCCAGTCGTGAATAGCGATTGCTGGTGATGAAAAAGACAGACCAAGGTCAATAGATTGGAAGTTGCAAGGTCTAGTCTAGGGCTGTTAATGGGTTGGATTTTAATCTGAATTCGATCCGAATCCGATCCGAATCTTAGGCCGTTTAACCGATTAAAATGTCCGATGGATTAAATCCGATTATAAATATCTGTAATCCGAAATAAGTGGACTGGATATGGAATTAAACAATCCAATCTGTTAAAAATCCAAATCCGAATATTTTAATAATAATTTTTATTTAATTAATAATATATATATTAATAAATACTTTTATATATAATATAATATATATGACATTATAATTAATAATGCACTAATTTGTATTTGTGAGATATTTTATTTAATAGAATAATGTATTTTTTTTCTAAACTATTTTATAATATTCTTCTACTTTTCTTAATTTAGTTTTTCTAGTAGGTATTATTTTTAATAATTATTTACTTTTGAAATTTCATGAAACACTTGAATAAATTGATTATAAAATTTTCTAAATTCTAATTATAATACAAATAAAACTTGATAATTTTATAAAGTATTGAAATCCTATCATCACTTTTGTAATATATTATATAACAAAAGTTCTTCTTTATCATTCATAAATAACAATTTATTTTTTAATTTTATTTATATTTTAATAAAAAATAATTAAACATAAATGTTACATGAATTTTTATCATTCATATATAATAATTTATTTGATTTTACATATCTTTTACTTATTGATTATTTGATTTTAATTATTATTAACAGTCATTCGGATCGGATTTTTTTTTCAGATTTCGGATTTTTATCGGATTCGAATTCGGTAGTAACAAGTAGAAATCCTATAGGATTTCGGGTCGGATTCGGATATATACATTGATAATTGGATTTGGATTCGGATCAGCCTGATTTGATCCGAATCCGACCCGTTTACATACCTAGTCTAGTCTATGATTCTGGGAAGTTTCCCTTGAATCTGTAATTTCTAAAAGTTGTAGGACTTGTCTTAAGTGTTAGGGACCCGACTTAATAAATTAAAAGTTTAGGCCATTAATAGAGAAGCCTAGGGACTTGATCAAAATAATCAGAACTTCTAGGTTCCATAGACATCTTAAAGGCCTATTTGCCCAAGTTTGAAGCATGAAGAATTTTTAAAAATTCAAAAGCTGATTGAATAAATCAAGAAATTTCTTAATTTAGTAAATTAAGAAACTAAAGAGTTAAGTTGTTCTATGTTCTTCGCTCAATTTGCCCAGTTTTACAGGTGTTGATGGTGGGTTTGATTTAATGCCAAAATTTAAATTAAACTATATTTTAAGGTTTGTAGTTTTTTAAAAATTAAATTAAATCAAGGTTCACGATTTAATTTAGTTTTTAATTATGATTTAGAAATTGTAAATATAAAATTGATTAAACTCACTACTTTTTATAAAATTTTGGCAAAATTTTGTCTAAGTATTGGACATCCAATTTTTTTAACCAGTTTAATTCAATAAATTCATCATCTATCAATTAATCATAGTAACTATATATTATGCAGCTAGCCCTACTAATGATTCCGGTTTAAAATGTGAAAATATTGGATTAAACTAAACTATCTAATTTTAGTCTAGTCCGGTTTTAAACCAGAAGCCTTTGTGGTTCGTTAAAGTTTTTGATTTTTGGTACTTGAATTGGAATGTTATAGAACCAGCAAACTTGAACTAGAATTGAACTATGAGGATTGAATCAGGAAATAGAATCACGAAGATTGAATCATGAAAAATTATTTGTCACGACCCGAACCTGGGCTAGTGACCAGCGTTAGGGTCCACCAATTCCAGTAAGCCGTAACACACTAGTCAAACTCCGAAAATACAAAAATACACTAAGTGTAACAATACAATATCTAAAAGAATACACGGGATCCTGTCTAAGAGTACATGTCACATCCCCAAAACTGAGTACGTGACAACATAAGACAGAACTAAATGCCCAAGTCCAATTTAGGGGTCGCTATACAATTTAACTAAGTGTAGGATTTTTGGAAAAATTTTGGTGGAGTTTTCCCTAAAATTGAACCTAACCCAGATTTTGGAAAAATATTAAATTACAATTTAATAAATTCTAACAATGACCCCAGGCAGTTATAAGGCAATTAAATGCAAATGTACATAACATGAAGTATACTGCAGACAAAATAGAGACATGTCTGTGCCAGTGGAACTAGCTAGAATATACGCATCAAAAGTTACAAAACAAACGATACAAACAAGAACTACTAATAGCTATACAAAATAATACCCATGAACAAGCCAGGCTCACGATGATAGTACGAATCTCAAGAGTTAACTAGAGTCAGGAGGAAGATCTGCATCGAGATCTGAAATATTAATAAAAAGGATGAGTTCGATAACTTAATGAGTAATAATACCTATACTCAGTATGTCGGGACAAGCATCCAGTCAAAACGTTTAAATAACTCTTTTCTAAATAATTCAAGTATTTGCAGAAAATCCCATTTTTTATTTTTTTCTAGGAACCTTATACATGGCCAAATTTATCATACAATACAATAAGGGTATAGGAGTATCATTATCATAGAGGTGGGCCGAAGGCCTCCAATCAAATCAGAGTCACTATAAGCACGCAATAACATAATTGAACCGTACGTGTGGACCGAACACGACGGGCTAGCATCATTACCCCTGCCAGCTGGGATCATGATGTACTAAGGCTAGTAAT